AAAGTGCAAACCTGAAGTGGCCAAATAGCTGTCAGTGATTAATAACTGACAAGACACATCTTGAGCTCAAATAAACAAACATTCATCATCCCTGCCCTCTAAAGGTGTTACAGTAGGTCAAAAGTTAGAACTTCTTTCTAAGACTCATGACGTGTCCCAATAAATGTCTTCTACTTTCTTTTATTTACATGCATTTGCCACAACTCAACAGACAAAAACGCACCCAACTCGCATTCTGTTTGTTGTGATGTGAACTTATGATTATGAAACCTAAAAACTCTCTGATCAGCTCAAGTAATTACAGTCAGGTGATTGTCGTAACTGAGACTATTTTGAGTTCTGCACTAATATTAAAATGGCTGAGTAATTTAGAAATAATGCTGTTACATACCACTATCAAAATATCAAATAAGTATAAGACAATCTTGACAGCAGTGAACCTTAGTACACTGGAGAGCAGAGAAACAGTAAGCAGTTTTATTCTCATCAGACTGTGGTATGTGTCCATTTTATTTATATATTTATTCATTCATTTTTTTATTTGTGATGTACAGGTAGGCCAAATTAGTGGAATGCTCTTGTGTGGTGCTATTTTTTATTTTTTTTTTTCCCAAACATGCAATATAGATATACTGTTCATAAATGAACTGGATATACAACCATGTGCATATGTTTGGGTGCCCCTTTTGTGTTTTGTTGATTTTCTGTGTGAAAATATGTTCATGCATTTCTCTACAGAGGACACACTTCTGCACATATAACCACACAATTGCATTTTATTTTATTTTTTGCTGAATTAAACATATTGGGGGAAAAATATATTAAAAAAAATGTTCCGTGCAAATGTTATGGCACATTTTATGTTTTGTTTCAGTTATTCCAATATGTTAGCAAATAAACTCAGCAACTCAGCAAATAAATAAAAGAAGTTGTGTACTAATATTAGCAGAAAATGCTCTATGTAAGTCTGTTTACTATAGCAAATTGTTAACTTATTTTCACTTAGAAAATTAACAAAACATGTAATTTGTCTAAACATTTGCATACGACTGTACTGTAGAATACACTACAGAGCTGAGGTGGCCAGAGCAAAGATTGATTTACAATAATATCTCACATTTGTTAGCCTTCATTCTCATTCATCATCGAAATGCCCAGGGAGAAGTATATATTTGAGACGTGTATGATTAGGTGAAGGATAGAAGGGGCACATGTCCTGAAATGAGGTTCATGATGATGATTTTTTTATTTATTTATTTACCTTTCTGTCATGAAAGGATCCTTTCAAGAACACGGGCCCTTCAGAGGTACTGACATGCATCAACGGCACATTAGCACTCATAAAGTTACTTGTTTGCCATTAGGGTCCTTAAGCTTGTTACAAACATGCATCCCACCCTCCACACATCAGCACACATGGTCACCCGAGCTGACGTGATAGTGAGGAAATGACACTAGCTTGTGTCATGGCCAAGTTGAGCGGCAGGCAGTGTGATGCCGCCAAGACAGCTGAGAAAATCCACAAGGATATTTTAACTTTGACAGACAAACCTCTGAATCCGTGTCCTTAATGCTGGGCTTCTTCTGCTCTTCAACTCTCCCAGTGGCTTCTGCAAACATTTATGGTGGTTGTATGGCTGAAATTATACTCAGAATCGGAAAGGTCAGAGGAGGGCTAGGAGAACATAATCATACTACTAAAGAACAACTAGTAACGCTTTACTATAGGGTAGTGTTTCTAATAGTGTTTATAAGGCTACATGACACCTACATAACCTTGACATAACAGTTGACTTAAACCTACAAAAACATTTATAAAGGCTTATTCTAGTAGGCGTCATCTGTCATAAAGGCTGCTTTTGTCAAATTTGTTGTCAAGTTGACGCAACACTTAGTCATGTGCAAAAGTCTGGGCGCCCAAGTCAAATTCCATGTTTTGTTGATTTTCTAAGTGTGTTATGTAAGTACACGCCCTCTATAAAGAACACATTACTGAATTTAACATATTGGGGAAAAAAGTGGCCTATGTAAAAGTTATGGCACATTTTATATATCACCTCAGAAAGTGTTATGACACAACCTAATGTCAGAAAAAATCTGTCACTCCAAGTTAGCAAATGCAATCTTGATGACACATGGCGCCTAAGTGTTTATAAATATTTATGTAGGTCTGTGTCAATTATAAGTGCTGTATGTAGGTGTTGTGTACACTGCCCTACAGTAAAGTGTTGCAGAATCAGTTAAACGGCCTAGAGAAACACTTGGAGCAAGCTTTTTAGGACTATCAAAAGTTTTTAGTAAGCGTTCTTGAAGTCCCTGCTCCCAACAGTTGGACTGGCTGTAAATTTCCCAACTTGTTCAGGCATTACCAAGTGGTCAGCCCCGTGAAGCATGTGCTGATGAGCGCAAAATGGAAAAAGAGAGCACAATAATTCTGAGGCAAGTTTGCTGCTAGAACCGGGGGGTGTATTGATTATTTGTGTGTTGCGAGAGATTTGGAAAATTCAATTAAATGAGTTGAGCAAAGGATTCATAAATCGGCCCTTGCCTCCGCCCACCGCATGCCCCTACAGAGACATTGTTGTGTTCTAAATCAATGTTGCACTTCACAATATATTTTCTTTGGAGCATGAAAATAAATAACATTTAAACAGTTCTGCTTACCGCTGAAACAAGTTTTATCTTCACCAAAGCCCTCTGTCACGGCAAGGCGGCCGCCTGCGCACACCGCTGAGGTAGTAACGGATTTTTATGGCAAATGTTCCATAAGAAAATCCTATATAATGTGAATTTTGCGATGGAAAAATGAGGAGGAAGGGGACGGATCAGCAGTATAAAAATTGATCAGGCTGTAGATGGGGTCGAGTCAGGGGAGATTTGTAAGACAGCCTTAATAGACTGTATTAAAGAAAGATTCCTTAAAAATGTAATAAAACAAATAGGTTTTCAGCAGTTGGCTGTGGAAAGGGTCACAGACCCTGCTCTCACCACATCAATCTGGCACCGTTGATGGATAAATGGGGTCTGTTTGGGGTGAATTTTATGCTTTTTTTTAATGCTTTTTCTTTGGAAAACAGATACACAATTAAAGGCATGCTGTATATTAGAGGGCTTTTGAGAGGACAGGTGACTAGCTTTTTTTCTTTTTTTGCTCTCCCTCCAGGATTTGATACAGACTCGGTCATACGTTTTTACGACCACATACATCTGCAGTGGAATTTAATACGTCACTATGATTGGAACAGCGTTTTAGTCATCTCATTTGAATACAGATTACAGATGTAGCTTATACATTTTTAGAGCTAATGTTAGTGCTGTCAGATCTTTTAAGTTTTGTCTACTGTTATATTTTTAGTGCCCCCCCTCCTTTTCCTATTCGCCAGGGTCTCCATAATCCTGACTGCATGCGTCACGTCAAAGATGATAATATAAAGTGCGTAATCCATTTCTGTGGTTCTCGCAGGTACAACACAGACTGGCAGCTCATATGAGTTTCTGAAGGAAATCTTAAGGTAACACTTTTTTCTCATGCAAATGGAATGGCTCTGCTTGTCTTTGGAGATGCTGCATCTTATTGTCAGTATGTGGGATGCACATTGAACTACCTGTCAGGCTGAAGGCAGTGAGACGTCTGGGTAGCTGCCAGTCAATTCTGCTTGTGTCAAAAGCAGACATAGCAGCAGACACCTTCCCATCCAGCCTGAGAAACATTTACACTGAACCTGCTCTCCTCAAGGGCTTCTGCCTTTCCTTTTTACCCACAAGCTGACAAAATGTTGATTCTACCATGTACGCTGAGCTGCGCTGCTGCAAAAATGTTTGTACCTTTGGCGTGCTGTCGCATTAGGGCTGATGCAGACTGAGATCTATACACATTTGAAAAAGCTAAAAAAAAAAGATGTACACACATGTAACTGTAGCAGAGTGAAATCTGGCTTGTCTTTAAGTTTTCATGCATATACATCACTGTGCAGAGAGCTGTAGTTTTCATGTTCTTGTCTCTTTATTTGGCAGTGGCTGAGAATGGCAATCTGAACAGCTGGTGCCCACACAATTTCCTATTTCTGCTCAAGGTGGATCATATAACTCTCACTTTATCACCCCTAGAGGCCACATGAAGGACAAAAGCGCAAGGTGGCCCATTAACAGAAGCCATGTTTTCCCATATATTTTACTTTTCTTTGCGGGAAGAAAAGTCGTGGGAGCTGGTCCTTGAACGTAGCACTGATCACCATGGCTTATGTGTCCTGACCGTACAATCACAGAAAAACATTCCTGCCCTGTATCCATTTGTGCTGTGATTCTGTGGACCTCCAGCTGTCTACTGTCCTTACATCTGACCCATCAGCAAATGCTTGATCAGATTTCTTCAACTCCTGATCCAGTGCCTACCACCAAACACAAAACTGATATGCAGACCAACAAATAGCAGAAACTACAAAGGGCTAACAAGGTCTTCGGTGGATCTGGTCAGTGAATTGGTTGGATCAAGGAAAGAATACAAATGCTATACCAATTTCATTTCTCAATGTTGTTTTGCATTTATTGTATCTGAACCAAGATTCCATTGTCCTTCTCCTGTGTGTGTATATGTGGCTGCAGGGCTTGTGCAAGCTGAAACACTATAGCCCCTTTGTGACCTGATAACATTTACAGTTGTAATGGATTTTTTTAATGTCAGTCATTAACTCCTGTGAAGGAGGGGGGGGGAGGTTGTGTGCACTTTTGTTCCTCTGGTATTTCAGGTTTATGGCATTGTGTTCGGATATGTCCCTTTTCATCATTTTTGTTTTATGGCCTATGAAGTCGATGCACTTTTATTTTAACATATAACCTTTGTGTGGGCACAGTATTTAGTTATTGTGAGGATATTGCTTTGTTGTTCAGTCAATGTGTTAAGCCTGGTCTCCTTATCTGAGAAATACTAAATTGTAATCTTGGATTCATGGATTTCTAAGGATGTTTCAGTTTCCTTTTCAGAGAGACCCATACACAGAAAATTTTTGTACAAAAGCATTTATTGATGTGTAGAAAATGTGTTAATAAACGATGGTCCTTGTAACTTGGTCTTTTTCAAGATTCATTTTCATACTCACAGTCCATGCTAAGGGGCTTTGTCTGTAATAATATTTGTGTCACTTAGCAAAACTTTCCCTCCATTCTTAGGAGTCACCATTTTAAACTGAGCAGAGGGGACTTCCCCAAGCCACCTATTAAGAGGAAATCTAATTTTCCAAACTGGACCCATTCTGACCTAATTGAAGGCGTTCTCTTTTCCCTTTGTCATCTTTCTCCATGATTATCCCCTTTTCATAGGGACCTTACTGAAGACTGAATGACGAGTGGTGTCTGGAGACCCTCTCTCAGTTTGTTTTCTTTGGGCCCTTTTTGCTGGGCGGCTCTGTCAGTTGGACGAGGTTGAAATATAGTAGCAGGGCCAGGAAATGGAGGAAAGAGAAAACGGAGACTAGCACTGGAAACAAATCAGGCAGCCTAGCCGGAGGCTCCAGCACCACGCTCGTAAAGCTCAAGCCAGCCATGGCCACCAACGAGACTCTAAACTGTAAAAAGACAAGATGAAGAGCACATTTTCTGTTAACACAGAGAAAGACATCACGTAGATTGAGAGATTTGATGCTTTTCAGGAAAGTGAGACAGCCTCACAGACCTATCTGCTGTACTAAAGGCCCTCATAAGTAGCCGTTTATTTTTGCCTGAGTGAAAGAAGAAGAGTACGCTTCTAGAGGTATAAACATTAACATGTCTATTTAGGATCCTGGAGTGAGGGATCAGTAAGCAGGAATGGTAACGGACACCCTAGCTCTATCACAAGGCCCCATTATTTATGCTGCTTCTGTAAATAAATGTCTAGGCCTGTGTTAATGTCACACACTATATAAAGTGTCTCAGACTTCAGACTTGTCTGAAATCCATAAACAGTTGTTTGTGAGGAAAACCATTCAAATATCTGAAACAACACGGATTCCATAACAATAATTTAATATACTTTATCTTTCAGTCTTGTACTTGCACGCTTTAATTAAACTGAGGTAGCAGAACACTGGACACATGAGCATTGCTATGAGTTCTGTTGCTCTGCTTACCGTGAACTTGACCAGCAGACTTAAGGTGTGTTTGGAGAGGCAGTACTGGGTGAGTTTGAGACAAGAGGCCAGCATGAGCTCTTCCTCTGACCTTCTGTCTAAAGCAGAAAGAAGGTACACTCCAAGATAGAGGAAGGCCAGTGAGGTCACCACATAAGGCAGGAGCAGACCATCCTTCAGCAGCAAAGGGAGCATGCTATTGGACAAACAGAGTGGACAAACAAAAGATACAGGATGTAAAAACAAAAAGATTAATACTGAGGAGAGCCTTCTGTTGCATAATTATAACACTAGCAGATTTAACGTCATGTGCAGTTTTGGTTCCCACGATGTATATTATGCATTGCTACGTTAAACATTAAAGTTTAGTCATGGCATTAGGCTGGTCACTTTTGGGACAGCTAAAGAATGACAGTTTGTCTATAAAGTCACCACCAACAAAACATCTTTTTGCAACAAAACACAACAGTCACTGTGACTTGAGTTTAGGTTCATCACGCCACTGAAAACAATACAAATGGACAATTTTAATGCCACAACATTCTGCAGCAATTTGTAAATAATCATTAAATAATGTGTGTTTGGAGCATTAAAATGTGTGGCAGTTAGTTGTCTCTGTGTGTCCCCTGCGGGTGTTTGCCCTAATAGCCTGACAAAAACTCCTTCATGGAAGAAAACTGAATTATACTCGATAACAAAAAGTATGTATTCAACAAAAGACGAAAACACTGCTATGGCTAATGATACTATATATGAGTAAGCTGTCCATATGAATCCACAGCACAATGTTTGCACAAAAGGCTCTCAGTGAAATGGCATGCGGACCATGTCGTGATGTCCATAAACTATGTGCACAATAATTAACTAACTCGGAAGGATCCGACAGCATCTAAGCACAGTGCTGTCAGTGACTTTATTACTAGGGATGGGCGACAAGGCAAAAAAGAAAAAATCATGATACTTCAAGGCATTTTCATGATATAAAATGTGTATCATAATATTTTGTTTTTCTCAGGTATGATCAGTTGGTACAGACAAAAAAGCCATAATGGTGTGTTCATAATTTTTGAAAGTAAAAAAAATACTATCAAAAACTATGAATTCAATTATTTGTATTCAATGTTATTCAATGTTTTACATACTGCCTGGCAATATATCCAATTAAACATGACTAATTAGGGCTTTTTAATGAAACATGCAGTTAGTCATTTTTCTTCAAGTACTGATGATATCTGCTGCAGGATTAAATTAGATGTATCCTATACAGCAGGGGTGTCCAAACTTTCTTAAAAGAGGGCCAGATTGTACCGTGTCAAAATACCAGAGGACTTTAAATATTATTCACAAATAATTCAGAATATTAAGTTTTCAAGGTATCAGTGCATAGAATCTGAGGTTTCTGTGAGCTAGTGTTTCCTATCACTGTGTAAAAGATGCACAAGTCTTTTTATTGTTGGATTGCTCATTCAGAGCAATTTGGATCGATAAATGCTTATAACAAATAATTACACTGTTTAAGAGTGAGAATAATTCACATAATTATTTAATTATACTCCTATTTAAGTGTTGTTCAAAAATATAATTTGTGACACAAAAAATAAATAATAATCTATAAATTGGTTGTTAGTGTTCTTTACGAATCAAATAAATGCAGAAACAACATTTAGAAATGACTTTATTAAACAGCATAAATAGCCACATTTTTTGTTCAACCTTAAAGCGTTAATATTTATTAGCTCTGATAAGACGTTGGTGCTGTTAGATGGGTAGCTTCAGTTACTTCAGTTTCTCCCCTCCCCTAATATTCATTGTAATGTTCATGCTTTCTTTCATGTCTATTGATATTAAATACATTATAGTCATTTGACATATGAGGCACACACATTTGCTGTGGCTCTCTATAAAACAGTATTCAAACTTTCATCTTGCCAAAATCGGTTCTCAGTGTTAAGTTTGTGCTTCACGGCTGTAGTCTTGACTGTGTCGTTCAGTAAATTAAGCTGCAGGTCTAGGCAGAGAAGAAAGGCTCTTAAACTTTAGCTAACTTTGTTACCGCAGTTCGGCGCAATACACTGAAATTTAACAGTGCTGTTGCCACCATCAGGTGAAAGGAAAAACTGCAGCGTACTGGCTGGTGGGCCACTTATACCCCTCTCTTAAACAGAAGCCACGAGCCAATTAAAATCTGTCCGCGGACTGCATAAACTTTGAACACCCCTGCTATACAGTGAGGGGAAACGTATTCAGACACTTGTTTTTGTTGTTTAATATACTTCCAGTGAATATGTCCACTTCAAAGGTACTCACACAATGTCTATGCATTCATAAGCTTAAACCACAATATGTTTAAAAAGGAAAAAAACATCCAGACACCACAAATTAATACCATTAGTTCTTTTTTACAAAGCTGTTGTTGGTCTACGGTAAGAAGTAATTAGCTTTTTGAAGTATTTGGAATAAATTTTTGCTCGTTGCCTGCGGAAAGCTGTCAGTAGTTTCCGAGGGTATGAGGGTTCCTTTGTCTGACTCACAATTTCAAAATCCTCTATGCATTTTTAATGAGATTCAATTCAGGAGATTGGATAAGCCATGCAAGCTCTTTCACCTTTAAACCAGTCTTGAGTTATTTTAGCTGTATGTTTGGGGTTGTTGCAACATCCATCTTTTCCTCTTTTCTTGCCTGATGAGATTAAAATATCCTCTAATCCTGATTCTCCCACCTCCATACTTCACTGTGGGTTCAGTGTTCTTGGGATCATATGTACTATGTTTGAGGTTTGTGAGGGCTACGTAGCTTTTTCCATTGGAGTGTTACTTAATAATGTGTCCCTGAGCACTTTAGAAACCTCCTTCAGCTTCACCATGATTGCTACCTGTTGTGTGAAATCTTCCTAACCAATGGCAACGTCTTTTACAATGTTGTCAGGTGGAATTTGCACAAGAAGACTTATTTTTTATTGTTGCAGCATTAACATACACTTGATTTATTTTTATTTTTGCAAAGGACTCAGATTAGAGCAAAATTTGTGGAGGCGCAGCAACAATCAATTTCTAAAATTTAAACTACTCATTTGCTTATTTTATAATGCACTGCGACCACTGTATGGGTATATGTGTTTTATCACAACAGTGGATAGAGAACAAACCCTGGTCTTTGGGTCCATGTCAGCCCATTTTCCATACTACCCCAGCTCAACTGCTTACCTGAAAGTGGAGGCCAGCAGGAACCAAATGGACATCAGTGGAAGTTCATTCATCAGAAGGCAAACTGGTCTGTAAACAAATCAAATATAAAATTAAATATACCATACTGTGAGACCAGCCTTAGCCACAGACCCACTATTTTTTTTTTTAAAGGAGAGTAAAGGATTTAAAGCACCCATCCATTTGTCTTGGAGCTGATTAGTGACGTCTTGGGTTGATCCATGATCCTGCATGACACTCCTAGTTGTAAAACTCACCACTTAAGTTAAGCTCACAAAATTTGCCAAATTCAAAAGTGACTTCTGTTGCATTAACGTCCTACGAGTAAAACAAGGAGTACATTGCAACAACAGACACTGCAACTATTACAACCAACTGTCCACTGACATAATTAGGCTTCAGTTTATGAGAAGCAAAATTTGAACCTGTCTTTAGTTACATACAAACACACTGTGCTTGTGAAACCTAAAATGTATCAAAGAGGAAAAGACATTTCACCTGACGTCAAAGCTATTATTATCCAGAGGGGGGCTTGTAGGTATGACTTCCCCAAGCCCTCCTCACTGAGCCAGTAATTACAGGACCCACTTTTGTGATCCTGTTACACCCATACCACTAGCCTCAGAGCTGATCCTTTACACACACGCACACCACTGCGGCCCAGAATTCTCTCCTAATCCAGTGACATGCATTACTGATTGATTTGAACAACAGGTGCAAGATATAACTCAACAGTTAATAAAGCAACAATCTGGATAATCTAGCTTAATAGATCAAGGAAATCTGTAACCAAATCCACACAGGTGGTGCAGCATAGTTTATATATACATACGGTGATGTTTTGAGGTAAACAATTACAAGGCTCTCTAGCCTGTGGACAGGGAGCAAATAAAAAATTGGCAGAATGTACATCTTTCTTGTCTGTTGTCTGAATGATGTGCTAAAACCAAAATGATACAGATTGCACTATTTAAAAAATAATATCTAGAGGCAATTTGCTGAAAAACAACTTATCAGTATTGATCAGATCAGGATTTAGTTGATATTCAGTGCTAATAGGATGCTGCATCAGTTAGTCTTTGACACAAGTGACCAGACTGATGGCCTTTTTCTAATCCCCTGTCAATCTTTAGGCAAACTGCAGCATAGACATATTTATTTTCATAGCAAAGCTGAACTGCTTTAATGTGATCTCATCAGCCATATTTATAATGACGCTTAATAAATCTTAAATATACTTGCCATCACCAGATATAGAAAACATGGAAAACACTGTTGCCATCACCACCCCAGAAAATTATGTATCAGTGCATCCAAATAATTTTTGTATCTTTTGCACAGCAACAGTCACTGTATGAATGTAGAACTACCATGGGCAACTAAATCTTCATGAACTGTTTTCAAATGCTTGTTGCCACTTCATTTACGTCAAGGCTCCAGGCTATAAAAGGCTCAGGGCCCTTGTGGTGCAATGCTATAGACACATTAAGAGGTCACACATATTATAAGTGCTATACTGTGATACAATAAAATTAATAGCATGGCCAGACTTACAAGGCCGGCAGCAGGATGGACTTCTCATGGACTTGGAAGGAGAAAAGGAAAAAGGCCAGTGACGAGTTCACCTGCAGTGCAAGGCCAGTTAGTTGATCAAGGGCCAAAAATAACAACCATTCAGCACTTTTTAACAGACAATTAGAAACACTTTGGCACTACTTACCAAAGCCAGCTTTAACTGCCACAGAGTGGGTTTGGTCAACAATTTAATTGACGAAGGCAAGATGAATAGAAGAGTGAGAGCAAAACTGAAAGTAAAGAGAAAAACATAAGTCATATAGCTCCTACATCACTGCTGGATGAATACATAAACAGAGCCAGAGAAATACGATCAGTCTTCTCAGTTGGCAACCCCAGTAATCAAACTTGCGTCATGAAACTGGAGGATGTGACTGCTTACTCTTTTTATAAATACTCATGGTCAACAAATAACTGAGTTATGTTAAAAATGCATCAAATGAATCAAATACTGGCACAGCCTGGAGAAGACCCAAAATGGGTTTAATCCTTGCTGTTGCCACTGTGGTAAAAGCTTGAAGGGAACTGATTCAATCTGAAGACCAGTCTGCTTGTTTGAGCTAAATGACTACATGGGGTCATCCAGGGTGTCCTGTAAATAAATGTAGTGACTGACATGATAGGGGAAAATAGGGGAAAAGGCTCCATCTTAAGATCACTGGCCATTTACTGTAGGGCTAAACCACATCTGTGCATGAGTTTAACATGTACTGGATGATGAGTTATAAATCTACGCACAGTCACGGTAAATAAACTTGAACAGCAGTTAACTTTGTTTTTTGTAATCAAGGTTACACAGAATGTATACTTTATATGCCAAATAATTTCTAGTCTCTGCTTTTTTCAAAAATTGTATTATTAATCAAAAGCACAGCACTAAAATATATTTTAAAATGGAAATGGGGGTTCTATCAATTTATGTCCACTTTAATAAACTGTGATGAAAAACAAAACAAAACAAATAACAGTAAAATACAAACACCGGAACTGTCAATTTCGTTCATTAATTAAATAGTTCTTGTGACTATATTAATTACATAACAATATTGTGTAAGTTCTGTTATTATTATTATTGTTATTATGCTATCATGTAATGCTAATGCTAGCTAGTCAGAGAAACTCCAGAAAACAACTTTGCGCTTTTATGATGAAAATCTAACAAAATAGTATTTCTGGTGGGAATTTAAGGGGCCTTTTGACCCATGTGTGAAGGCCTTTTGCCCCTTGTATTTTTTCTGTAAATGTCTAAGTTTTCACTTCACTTTAAAAGAAAAATTCCTCTCAAAACCAAATGGAATACTCTCTTCATATAGACTTTTCTTGTAGAATTTAATGTAAGCTCACTGATCACTTCCCAATGACAAAAAATAAGGGAATCCAGATTAAATTTTAGAATTATTGGACCATAGGCATTCAGTGTATGTGTTGAGATTAGATTTGGTCCCATCATTTGATCAGAAGATAACATAAGCAGGGGGCGGGCATCTCACCCTGGGGGCGTCTTCCCCCAGTTTACCCTGCATTAAGGAAGTGTTTCCCAATTATGGTGAAATACACCTTGACTGAATATTTCAGTGGCTTCCCTGCTCCCAACACTCTGATGACACAACTGATCACCTCCTACTTAGCAAGCCCTTCTTGAGTTTAACACTTGAGAAAACACTCAAATGTGCAGTGCTCTGGAAACAGTACTGAAAAATACTTGCTTAGAGGGTGTAAGGTGGGCTTTAGGTCATACTCCCTCACACAAGACCTTATCCAAATATATGCACTTTAAATCTGGACCTTGCGTAATACTGCACAGCAAAAAGCACAAATAATCCAAGACCAAGCAATCCCAGGGATTACCAGTTTTAAAGAAACACTGCTATCGTCCCTAAATAGATTTACAGACTTAAACATACTGAAGACTTACAGGGTATTCACTATATGCGTCGCTCACTCTAACAAAGTGACTGTGTACAAAATCCCTCAGAGAGGCTATTTTTGAGCTCAGAGATAAAGTAATAGAAGCCCTTTGTTTAGTGAGAAATCTGGAGCAAGACCATCTGCAGATTACTGACCAGATATCATTTGTTTACCAAAGCTCACAGATATCCCTAAGGTTTGATAATCTTCAGTGCACTCAGTCGTAATGAGGACTCCATAAGGTGTGCCAAAGGCCGAGTGGTAAACGGATGGAGGGTGATAGTAAACGGATGGACGCAGGATTACCTGAGGAGCAGCTGAGTGTCTCTGGACAGCAGGGTCTTGATCTTTATCAGCACGTTCAAGCTGCACCATGTGTTAGCCACTTTGTCCTGCCAGCACACAAACACACACATGCTATAACTCGATACACGACAAAAATATAGTAGTATTCATCAGTGATGCAAAGAAAGCATCAGTATTCCTGTTTGTTCATAAAAGTAATTAGTATGTTAATCATAAACATAAGATATTAATTTTAATAGCATGTTAAAAGGGCCTCTTTTCTTCATTTTACTTTTCTTTTATTGTTTCCTCTTTAATAATGCTTGTGTGGTTTTATGTATCAAAAACAACCATTATTTCTTTTAACGTGACTATTTTCCAAATGCTGTTAATCCCTCAGGAACAGATTGTTTATGTTACACTGCCTTTAAAATTGATATATGCAAATTGCCTCTTCTCTGATTGGCTGCTCTGTTTTATGTGTCATTTGAAAAGCAGTCCAGGCTGAAATACTCATAACTTTAACATGAACAGGTGGGGCTAAACTGCTGCAGGCTAAATAGGGGGATATATTTGTGTTGGTTTTCATGAAAAACACTTGTTTCACAATGTTTTTTTTTGTCTTAATTTTCATACATGGATTCTATAGACTGAGGAGTGTTTATACTTTAACAATGATTACATACTGCTTTAAACAAGGACATTTGGTGATATGATATGTACCCCTAACGTGGCATACTTAAATATCATGTACGTCCATAATGGAATTGGCTACCACAATGGCTTTTCCCATTATGGGGGAAACTCTCACTGACGTAATAAAACCTTGTATCTCCGAAATTTTCTAGAATGAAAGTTTATGTAACAAGATTTTTTTCTAATGGTTGATGTAAAGCATAAGTGCAATGTAAAGGGTCTCTAGTGTAAAAAAAAAAAATATTAAAAAATGAATAAAACTGACAAGGTTTTCACATGACCGTCACACATTAATCAATGAAAACACTAATTCTAATAAAATCTGTATGTGCTGTGACGAAATGACTGAATTCCACAGTAAAACTGCATCTGAGCCAGATATTATGCCTCAGCTAATGATGGCTGAAACTGAGAGGACCAAGTTACGAAATTAGACCCCACAAATATGGTGGCCTTCTTTAAATACCTTGCAGCTTCTGAAGAGAAAGCAAATAAGTGGCATTACTCTAAGTAATCATTTCCCAACTGAAAGTGTAATAAAAATTCCTGAGAGTTTTCTGTGACATTTGTGCACAGGGCAAAAGGTTGCAAAAGATCTGCTCCTGTCATTAATCTCCCTGTGAAGGATCTGAGATGTCAAAAAAAGCTTTGCACTTATTTGTAAACTCAGAGACGTGGGGTTAAATGTGTGCGAGTCAGCGTGTGACTCCTCTTTCTGCATACCAAGCACATTCTTGCCAATCTGCACCTAGCACGGCCTACAGTTTTGCCACCCTGGAGCAGCCCGAGTCACACCCCTTAGGAAGCATGCCTAATGACCACTAGTTTAGTCTACGTATGTATTTACGTTTACCTTTCTACTGGGTGCGGTCATGGGATTCCTCATAGACTACAGGCCTTTAGCAGTTGTGCAACAGTGTGATTAATAACGGACACAAAAGCTACAGCGCTGCTTCTTACTCAGTATTGCCCAGTCGTCACGATCACAGCTGCTACAACTCACAGCTGTGTATGTGTTTGTGTACCAGCTGAAGTACAGTCAGAGGACCCCCTTCTCAGTGCCCTTCCAACTGCAAATGACCCGCTCAAATCAATGTGCTTGGAACTTCCGGAATAACTTCTGCTCTCTCGACTCTGACCTGAATGTCGCAGCACGGCCTCTAAGTTTGGTTTCACTGGCAAAACAGACGAGTCGGCACAGTGAAAGCGCTGGCCTGTCCGGAGAGCCTGTCACTGTCACTGACTGCAGCATTTGGTGCCATTTTTGTGTGAGCAACTTGAGAAGGCTTAACGCAGGGCTGGAGTGAAAACTAACGCCCACAGTTTGTCCTGGCTGCCTTGCTTACATGTACTTTTTCACAATTAGTACAAGCAGGTGCCACCCATGCAGCCTGCCTTCTCTCTCACACATACCACCCTCACCCCCCACACAGGCATGCTTTTTTTGTTTTTATACCTTGTCAGGACATGGGATCATACAAATGTCCTATGTTTGTTTATATGAATACGTCGATTTATGTATGTATGTATGTATGTAAAATAAATGGTCCAAAATTACTCTGAATAAAATATTCTTACATTATCTTACATATGTTTGTAAGCACTCATACGTAATACTGCTACTACTACTACTAATACTAATAATAATAATTATAATAATAATAATAATATTATGTCCCTTATATGTATTACATATATGTGTAAATCTATATAACATCACTTATATGTTATATATGTGTAAGTACCCATACATAATAATAGCAAAAAATATCACCATGTGCCTTTATTATATATATTTGGCCGCCTTGGTCAAATTCCATGTTTTGTTTTGTTTTTCTGAGTAAAAATAAGTTAACACATTCTCTTTTAATGTTCTATTTTCTCCTAATATATTCAGCAAATTAAATAAATTAAACTTGTGCAATAACATTTGTAGAAAGAAGAGAAGGTCATATTTAAGTGTGATCTCTATAGAGGATGTGTAGACTTTTTTTTTGAGAAAAGAACTCATTTTACCTTTTAAGATTAAAAAATAAATAAAACATGGAGCTTCTGTAAAAAGTCCTTTACAAAGTGCATTCTCTTCTGTCCTGACACTGTAGTTTATCTGTGTTTTCCTCTGGTTTTCCTTTATAATGAATACATTTTGTACATTGTGTCTTGGAAATGTACCAAAACAAACACATGCGCACACACACACACACACACACACACACACACACACACACACACACACACACACACACACACAGTTCAGTTCATCGTCTAGGACTTGGCAAACACTCTTTCTCCAGGTTAGAGTTGCTCACACCCTGTTTATTATGTTAGCATCATGTCACAAGTAAATGTGTGATGTATACTAACTCCTGAGCCCTCTTCAGAATTTTCAATTACTTCTCACATCACAGCACCTCCTGCGGCACCTCCGCAGCGGCGCCAGGGTACGTTTCAAAAGCAAGCCGCAAAACTTGGCTTCCACACAGGGCTCTAATACTGGAGATATCGATAGTGGCTTAAGACAATACACAGAATGGGGATCCAATTTTCAAATAAGGCCAGTCAAACAGATCCTTTGTTTCATCAAGGTGAATGAGGGAACTCGCCCACAATGTTTTTTAATTGGCCACAGTTCAACTAAAGCACACTTCAATTTGCAATTTGTGTCATAATTAGGAAAACTGGTTCAAGAACTACTCTGGTATTTAAAGTACTTTGAAGCAGGCTGTGTCCACTGTATGTATCTATGCTACACGGGGAAAAGAGAGACACTACGTATATTTCTGCAAGCATATGCACACATACATAGATTCATAGATAGATACAATGCATTTGGATTAGGATCTCAAGGGCATTTCCATGCCAACCCCACATTTGATCTGACAGGCACAGTGAGGAGTTAGCAAAGCAACATATAAGCAAAGCCTCCATCCAGGCTGATGTGCTGAAAACCTTCTTCATACAGTAAATAAGGCAGATTTATACACAGCCCTACCTTCACCTCCTCCTAAAGCAAAACACAGAACCTAAAATAATGTGTAAACAATACGATGACCTCTAGCATAATATTCTTCTATTTGCCTTCATCTTAGTAGCAATCCTTTTTTTCAATTTGGTCAGCAACAGCAGAATGTGGTCAACACGTGTACAGTACTTTCTGTACATACTGTATGATGAGATGGTGAACTGCATATAATAGTGGCAAAGCCACTGGAATAGAAATAACCCCTGAAAGAACAGCAAGGACAGACTTTTGAAAATGGACTACAGAACTTTGCAAGACACAACTGACCAGATAAATTATTTTCTCTGGTCAAAGCTGACTGGGCCACAGTCAAGTCTGAGTTCGAGGGCATACCTCAAACAAGCCACGGTCAACAGGGAACAAGCGATGCAGAACCTGCAGGATCTGCTGCGGGTCTGACAGGAAAGGCCACCAACAGAGGGCAAAGGTCGCCAGCACAGTCAATGAGATCTTTACCAACAGAAGCAGCCTGCAAGGAGTAAAAACAGCAGAGAAATACTTCAGTAAAAACTTGTGCAGTAGCTTATGTGGCAATAAATAATATCTGGCCAGGGTAAAACATCTTAAAATGTATCAGCGACATCTTATATATATATATACATATTTATATATATACACACACACACACACACACACACACATACACACATATATATATATATATATACACACACTTTAAAACAAGTAAGTTATCTGCTGATAGAAGACTATTTTTCTAGAAATAAAATATGTAAACCAAGTAAAAATGTCTAGAAATAAGTTCTCTTATAATAGGCTTACAGCAATCTCCGAATGAGAAATTTTTAGATATATCGACTACATTTCAGATGATTTCATTAGCCAAAATAACATTTTTGCAATGCATATCACTTGTAAGATACCTTTTTTTTTAAAACATAAGCTCCTTTTCCTTAACTGGGAGCAATATTACATCCACATTTTTTTATTACTTAAAGCTGCACTATGTAAGTTATTTTGTTAAAATGGAAAGTAGCAGCATTACTTAGTCAGGAGAAAAAAATCTAAAAACACCACAATATGATGTCTGTGCGCTGCTGTGAGTCACCCTGTAAAGCCAGCAACAAATTTTTAAATTCAGAGGTTTCGGGATGGATTTTGGGGGGTGGGTTTCGGACCACGTCAAACATCTTTATGTTAATGTCACAGGCACAGGCTCAAAAAGAAGGTCCAGCTCAATGTTTAGGTCTCAAATGTGAAATCAACATTATACTGAAGAAGATATGAAGACAATGGTAGATAATTCACTCACATCTTTGAAAGATCCAACATTCACCAAGTTCTGATGGAGTTCTCTTTGAGTACTCTTTCAAAACTCTCGCAATCATCAGACTCGCCCACTCAGGAAGGGGTCGAAGCACAACTGATGTTACAAAATGTTCTTTTGAATGTTTTGGGCAAATGCACATTTACAACAGAGATTCCCAAAACTTACATAGTGTAGCTTTAAGTTATTATAACTCTTCTCATCTCCATATGATATATAGTCAAGGTGAGGATACCAACAGAGCACCTTGTGGAAGTACTCAGTTTCATCTGTTAATATAATAACAGTGCACCAAGGGCATTAGGTAGCAATTGCATAGTTGGATTAGATTGCCTGGGAAAATATGTCCAGATAACTGTTGGAATTAGATATTAGACTTTTTTTGCATGTTTTAGTAAACTATACAATTTACAGAGCTAAATGAATCCTGAATGACTTTTTAAAATGTAACTTCAATTTAATCCCAGGATTTTGTGTTTAGTTGCTTCCAGCATCTTTTTCACCCACAACTGTTCCTTACAATGTCAGCAATGCCTCATGTCCTTAAAATGTTTGTGTTTGCTGCAAGTGTCTCTGTTGGAGTTGCTGATCCAACTCAGCTGTAGTGGTAAAGTTGCACACACAGGCATAGCAGGGAGGGTCAGGCATGGTCAGAGAGTCATCTGGACATATTTTCCCAGGCAATCTAATCCAAAAATGCAATTGCTACCAAATGCCCTTGGCGCACTGTTATTATATTAACAGATGTAAGGTAGTGAGAGCAGGCCGTGCGGCAGCAAGAGAATCCTGTAGGGAGGTGAACGTTAAACTCCAAGATCTGATTCCCTTTACATACATTCAACCTACACTGCTCAGAATCACCCAAATAGAAGTTAAATTTTCAGTTTATTAGAGAAATGAATATTATAAAAGTACAGTCTTTGAAATAAAACTTTTGCTTTATAGTTAGGGCTGAAAGGTTAATCATTTTTTATTATCAAAATCACAATTTGAAAGAGTGCAATTTTGACCATAGCCTACATTGTCAATAACGTTTAACTCTTCAAGGCTGATGCAAAAAATGGATTATTCCTGCTGTTTTATCTACTCTTGCTCATTAACAATGCGATTTCTCAGTGCTGTTATAGTGTTCATTTGATATGTAAAGAACATGATCTAGGGAAGCTGAAAATTTGTTGATCTGTATTCAGTTCTCATCACAATATACCTTTTTGAAACACATGACTAGGGCTGTAAGTCACACATTAGTTGCTCTTTATCATTACTCTAATTAAACAAATCAATAATGAGCGCTTACTGATCCATATTCTGTTCTGAATGAGCTCAGAAAGAGATGTTAACCACCTGTTGATGAGTTAGATCAAGCAGAAGCAACTAAACACCCATGGTTATGACATGTACGTGTCCCAGTACATGTACATGACATATAATATGTACATGTCGGCACAACCACAACTAACTGGCATTCTGGCACTCCAGAAAAAGGGGATATACTGGTGTTACTGGCCAAAATAACAGGCACAGAACTTTTTCCCAATTTTCCCAAAATCGTTGTGTCCCTCTCTTTTTATAGTGTCTTGATCTAACGCTCTAGTCACAAGCTAATACTAGTATTAGCCTCAAGCTAATACACTAACCACAAGGTAATATGTTAGTCACGATACAGTGACACAATATGATACACTACTGTATGCAACAACGCAATTCGATATAACACTGTATTGTTACATCTCTAAATGTTCCCTAGTATTCAGGTGCTGACATGTAGGCTATCACAGCAACAACAAGAACATAGTCACATGGTCATAAACGAGGTGGCTAAAGACAAGACTATTGGGTCCCACTATAGCAGGTTTATATTTATGTTATAGGGCCTGATTTTTTTTTTTTTTAAATAATGTTTTTACAACTTAAGAATGAGTCCAGTGTGAGCACAAGCTGATGGACACCGAACACTGTGTAATACAGCTGGACTAACCCCTTACATACTAACACTGCAAGACTTTCCATGTAATTTCTGTCATTTCTGCAAGATGTTACAAACTTCACATTATTAGGTACACCATTGCCAGCTGCACCTAATATGCTGCCATAACTTATGAAGTCATGAAAGTCATGTCAGTCTTTACTGATCTCTTTTTGGGTGTTTATAAAAGATGTAATTACATAAGGAATACTGTATATCATCACTGCTGGAACAAAATTGTGTATGTCCATTTTTGTTGCTTATTTTTTAGAGAATTTGAAAATGCTTGCTGCCATTTACACTGCATTAAAATTTCAGCATAAATGGACTAACAGACACAATCCAAAATTATTTTCCATTAACTTCCAATCCACAAGGTTTTTCCTTCTTCTGTAAAGTTACTATTTTGGAGATAAGAGGTTTTGACAGCAATGATGAGCAAAGTAATATGACTAAACAAGACTGTCACAGACAATACTATATAAAACCTGTGCAACTGAGATTGAGGATTCAGGTTACTTATTCGAATGGGACAGTATTTTCAAAAAAGGCCACTTAATGCTAGACCTTTAAGACTTACCCTTTACCCATAAGGCCTTGTTTGATACATTTGCCCAGGAGGTAGCAGAAGAAGGGCAATGAGTGGTACAGCTCCATCTGCTTGTAATTGAGAGCTAAGGTGAAGGCCAACGACCCAAGCAGGTCCCAGCCCAAACCAAGCCCCACCACACCCCACAACGCCAAACCCAGGCTTACACCGTTATATATGACAAGTCGTTAAGGCCTCGTGCAAAGTGGTCCTGTATTTACAACGCACATTTGAAGTCATGATTATCCAAAGACAGACAGTACAACACATAACAAATAGTGTAAAGGATACTGAAAATGACCATAGTCGATTAGGATGAGTCCCGGATAAAGCAGGATGCACAGGGCTGTGGCAACCTTTGGAAATAAAAAGACGCAAAACCTTATGTTACAGAAAAATCAGCACTGCAAAATTAAAGCAAATACAAACAATGGGCCTCATTCACCAACCCACTTACGCAGTTTTCAAGAAGATTCTGACATTCACCAAAGTTTTCTTATTTGGGATTTATTATTTATTCTTGGGTAAAAACAGAATTTACACACACTCAAGCACAAAAGTGCAAACAATTCCGCAGATTAAGAATACGTCATGAATCTGACGTAGACTTTTTCTTAGGACCTTTCTCAAGAACAAATTTAAGAAAAAACTTAGGAAGATGTTGGTGAATGAGGCCTACTAATTCCAGTTACCTTCTTTCTGGAGGATCCATCAGTGAGGTAGAAGCAGAAAAGAATGACTGCTGGAATATAAATCACTATATCTGCAAAAAGAACTACAGGGTACAGGAGAAAAGTAATAAATTACATAGATTACACTGCAAATACAAAAATCATGAAAAACTATGCAACCTGTGTAGTATACAATGTTAATGCCATTTATTTAATTACTTGTATCTTTTTTTTCCCCCAAAGTCATGTAGTCATACATACTTTTCAAAAATTTGGAATCTCCATTAAAAATGTGAAATCAATGTTGTCAGAGCCTGTGGCCCAAGTGGCCACTTGCCTTGGAGATTTATTTATTGTTTTTTTGCAGTTTTGCTTGTTGTCTTTTAACAAACTTTGGTTGGACACAGAACTAACCAGACAAATCAGATTTTGCCACAGTTTGTTAAGTGTAGCAACTGCTACGGCTAACGTGGCAGAGTGGTGACTTGTTGTGGTTCTTCCTGCAGAGCTGGTCCTCCTGGTATAAAAGCTGACATCAGGGTGGAGGACCCACCTCAGTCACCACAACAATGTTTTTATTAATGTAAAGTTTTCAATAAATATTTTCTTTTTCAAAGCAACACCTGACTGATTTTTGGTGCTGAATCATGCTTGTTAATCGTAACGGCCTGAATGCTTGATGTTTCTATAATTCTCGGGCCACAAATTCTTCATTTTGGGCACGATACATTGGCTTGGTGGCCCGAGCGACTCTATTAGTTTGCTACAACTCTACAACTTCATAGGTTTCAACTTATTAGTAGCAACCTGTGAAAAATTTGGAAGACATGTCCAGAATGAACAAAGCTGTAGACTTTCCTTGATAACCGAGAAAGCTGTAAAACATCGAGAATGGAATTTTAAAAAACTAATATCCTAAGCCTTGTATTTTAAAGTGGTGATCTCTTTTTTATGTTCTCAAAAACATAAAATATTGAATAATACACCTTAAAATACCTTCTGGTGTCTTGCTTATAGTATTTACACTGTATAAGTTATTATTGAACAAAACAACAGCAATCAATAATAAAACGATTTCAAACATTTGTTTGGTAGTGTATGCTGACCACACACAAGTAAGTTGCAACTAAATTTGAGAACTACAAACATTAAGAAAGTGTTATGATTTTTATTTCTAACAAGGTTATAGTCCACCTGTCTACTTTGGGATTAAACAAATACAACTACACTTACGGATATAGTTGTTGTACGCTTACCTGTGGTGCGCATAAACAACTTATGCGATGCACTCTCATAACCTCTAGATGTGTGCAACTCTACCCATGCAGGATCAATCAGTTTTGCTCTACACACACAGACATACAGAAAAACAAAATATGTTATATTGTTTACTATATCACACATATTATGATAACCATACAAACAACTCAGTTTTAAAATATATTGACAACTAAAAGATGGTCATAGAGATTTAAACACAACACTTACATATGAGCACATAAAAAGACTGTGGTAGGCAGTGAGAGGGGGGTAGTCCAGACCCCAGTAGCCCAAGTCATTGTCTGTGGTGTTGAAGTACCTTAAAGAAAAACAAACATTTATTGCAGCCGCAAGAGAGGTGCTTACTGAGATGAAGCAGTCAAAATACACTACATGGCCAAAAGTGCGTGGACATCCCTCCTAATTATTTACTTCAGTGTTTCAGCCACACCCCTTGCTAACAGGTATATAAAAACAAACACACAGCCATGCAATCTCCATAAACACTGGCAGTAGAATGGGTCACATTGAAGAGCTCAGCGACATTTTAAACATGGCACTGTCATAGGATGCCACCTTTGCAACAAGTCAATTTGTGAAATTTCTGCCCTGCTAGATCTGTCCCAGTCAATTGTAAGTGCTATTATTTGAAATGGAAGCATATAGGAGCAACAACAGCTCAGTCTTACAGCAAAAGACACGGAGTGGGGCTGCCAAGCACCAAAGCACGTAGCCCACAAAAATCACATATCTTCTATTGCCTCACTCACTACAGAGTTCCAAACTTCTCTGGGAGCAACATCAGCACAAGATCTGTGCACTGGAGGCTTCATAAAATGGGCTTCCATGGCCGAGCAGCTGCACACAAGCTGAAAAACTCATTGCACAAGGCCAAGCATTGGCTGGAGTGGTGTAAAGCATGCCGGCACTTGACATTGAAGCAGTGGAAATGTGTTCTCTAGAGTGATGAATCATACTTCACTATCCGACAGTTTAATGGACAAATCTAGGTTTGGCGGATGTCAGGAAAACTCTACCTACCTGAATGCAATGCGCCAACAGTAAAGTTTGGTGGTAGAGGAATAATGGTCTGGGGCTGTTTTTCAGGGTTTGGGTTTGGCCCTTTAGTTCCAGGTAGAAGTAAAGTTAATGCAACAGCATTCAAAGACATTATAGACAATTATATGCTTCCAAATTTGTGGCAGCATTTTAGGGGAAGACCCTTTCCTGTTCCAGCATTACTGTGCCCCTGTGCACAAAGCGGGGTCCATAAAGACATGATTTAACGAGTCTGGTGTGGAGGAAATCTACGCTGACCTCAAATCCACTGAACACCTTTGGGAAGAACTGGAACGTCAACTGCAATCCAGGCTTGCTCATTAAACATCAGCACCTGACCTCACAAATGCTCTTTTAACTGAATGGGCATAAAATCCCATAGACACACCCCAAAATCTTGTGGAACACCTTCTCAGAAGAGTGGAGGCTGTTACGGCTGCAAAGAAGGGGCAACTCTATATCAATAAGCATGGTTTTAGAATGGGATGTCCAAAAAGCTCATGTAGGTGTGATGGTCGGGTGTCCTTTTAGCCACATAGTGAGACAAAGAATGCCTCCAGACAGAGAATATATGTATGTATGTATGTATAAGGATGAATGAATGAATGGATAAATGAATGAATGACGAACCATTCCTTTAAGGGAAGATTGTAGGTTACTTCTTGCCAGTGCCTCTGTGCCTCATAGTCTCCAAACATGGGTGCTTTTCCAGCGCCTAAATTAGAGTTTACACCATTAGAAACAGCACACAGACACAAATTACACTGATTTGATTGATGCAATTTGTCCATCAGCCTTGTTTGACCTAAAATAGGGTGTATAACCATATTAAAAGCGCAGAATTAGCGTTAGTATTTTTTCAGGATCGATTTTAGAATCAGTGTCAATGTAGACAACTAAAGCTTCTCCTTCAGTGAACAGTTCAGCTACTTATTTAGCTTAACCCATCTCTCTCTGGCTGCACACTAACCTGAATAGGAGCTGAAAGACACAGCCCACCTCGTCGTTAGACCAAGCAAAACGCATATAGAAATAAGGCTCCAGGTCTCCATGGCTGGCAGCCCCTAAAGACGCTAAAATTCAACAACATTAAGCGCTAAAACGCTTGTAAGATCTTGTAATTATCTTTGAAGCTACAGGCGCCGCTTCCTGATCGCTCACGTCAGCACTCACACAGCGCGTTGGAATAACCCGGATGTTGTGATCTACAAATCATAACTGTGGATAATTTGTGATACGATGGTTTGAAGATCAGCGAATCTCCGCTGAGGCTACGTCAAATCTGCGTCCAGCTCATCGAGCAGCGCTCATTGATGATGCAGAAAACTCTTTCACATGTGAATTTACATTGTTGATGGCTACTTTGAAACAGAGGCGAAACAATGCATAAGCTCTGTTGTCCTTTCCAAAAACAAAAAGCTGTTAGAACAATGAGTGTGCACCATATTTAATACATTTTTGCAACAGTTTGTGTTCTATCCCCTGGCTCTCTTCATTTATCTCTGTTTAAATTGTTACAATGTTCTATATTTATGAATTTTGTATATTATATTGACGTTACTGTACTGTTTGCACTCTAATAACAATGTTAAGAAAACAAGAAAAATAAATAAATAAATATTTGGTAACTGGTTGTGTCTCAAATCAAACTCTTGCTCCAAATGTAATAGCTTTACTGGCAATTCCACCATTGATTGTGTCTCAGATCAGCCCCTTGCTCTGTATGCAGTAGCCTAAACTAACTAAGGATTCAGCTATATGTCTCAAATTGAACTTATTCTGCACTTAGTGAATTACTATGTACACTCTAACAGTAATTTGCGAGTTCAACCTAATCAACTGCTTCATGTGGTAACAGAGGTTTTATGTAGCAATGACAGTCTTTATTTTCATTTTTACATACTCATTTTTTATCCTTTAGAATTAAACAGGCTGTTTTTGCTACTGTGGCTTTAATCTATATGTAAATGATGTGTTCTGATTGGTTGCCTTGTATTGCTCCTCAGTGTTGTTTTTCTTTTTGTGATCACAAAAACAATGAATTCAAAACAGGTTGTTTTGCAGCTCAGTGTCCACATATAAATGGTATGGACTGAAATGTTACATTTTGAAACTTTGACAATGTTTTCATACTTAATTAAACTCTTTTTCTACAGGATGAGCATTTCAGTGTTTCGGTTGGATACCAAAGTAGTTTACATTGTTTTTTATTATTCTTGAATCTAACAACTGTTTGACCCCATGTACCACATACTTTTGTGTTTTCCTGAATTAATCCCTAGTTATATCTATCTATCACTAGATTCAACTTATCAGGCAATTAGTCCCTCAAGAGCTAAATGCAAATTAGATTTTGGGGATTGTTTGCAAAAGAATGTTGGCCACATCCCTTTACTTGAACTAACTACAGCAGTCATAACACAAACTCAACAAAATAGTCCAAAATTTTCCAAATAAATCATGATTTGATTCAGGAGCATAGCTAGAGTATGGAAGCCAGCCCCCTGAGATTTCTTAGGGTCTTAAGATCATAATACAGCATAATGTTTAAAAAAGGAATTTATTAATTTGGTTATCTCTTTAAGTCCAATGCACAGACCAGAATATACAATTACCAAGGAGCTGATCAAATATCCTGAGCAAACTGCACTCCTAACAAGCACTCTAAACTCAAATTAAAAGTTCAAAGTTAAAGTTATTGGCTTTGTGTTGCTTTCAGTCCCTAACATCATATGCTGGACAAAGCTTCTTTGGACAACTTTACCAAAACACCCAAATTCAGTATAATTCAGTATATTTAAGTGTAAAATGTAATCGTAATAACAGTTTACATGACTTTGCCAGCATTATGCAAAAGGTAGCTAGCACTTAGATTTCCCACAAAAAAAGAGGCTAATTTAATGTTGCATAACAACAACATTAATACTCTCATTCACCTGCCAGAAGAAGCTTTTAGTGCTACCTTCAGCAACGTGTTTAAAAAGGGCATGAGCAGCATTATTCAGAGCTGCAGTTGCTCACTAACACCACTAGCAGGACAACAACTCCTTTAGGCATCTTTAAACTACTGATCAAAATGGGTGGCCAATATAGAGGAAAGAGTTTTAGCTTTGAGGTTCCTGAAAGACACTTACAAAGGCAGCCACAAAGATTCAAATTGGTGAAAGAATTCTGGCAATCAGCATTTGGATATGTGAGATTTCAAAGCAACATGAAGAAACTAACAATTCTAAAAAGACCACACAGCCAGTGACTGAAAGGCAGATGGACTGGTTACATAAACTGTAATTATTCAACGTATTAAGGGAAGCAGTCTTAATAATAATGACAGCATATTGTCGCTGTCAGAAGTCTGTTGCCAACTGTTAAATATGATGAATCCATCATGGTGTGCATGGATCTTGTGGGACTCATAGAATTGGGAATTTAAGGTAATTGGCACCCTAACATTGTTTCTTCATGATATTCTCATGTTGTGAACTGATAATGCTCCCAATACATACTGCTAAATCAAATAGAGAGTCAAATCAACTCAAAGTCAAGACCCTTCAAGTCTGCACTGTCCAATCCCATCACAGATTGCAGTGAAAATCACTGCACCTTTATGGAATGGTCTGGAGCACACCCTTTTAAAAATAAAAGTGTGTCAATAAGGTTCCCACAGTGCCACAGTAGAGTCACATTGGGTTCCCTCAGAAACCTTTGTAAGTGTAATGAACTTTTTCAAAGTTTAAAGACCCTTGTGTAAAGGTTCTAGGAAGAACCCTTAAATTGGTACAGAATATTTACGTAATGTGAAGTTTTTTTTAAACTTCTTAAGGCTCTTCACACTCACAAATCTCTTTGAAAGACAGTTCTGTAGAGAATTAAAAGTGGTTCTGTGACATAAAGAGCTCTGTGTTACTGCTTTTTATTTATTTACTTATTTATGAGAGGGCAAAAGAGGAACAAGATTTCCTTCACCCTTCAAAGAATGCAACTCTTAAGAATTTAGGCTCCTAAATGATTTTTTGGCCAGTATCAACTAGGAACATTAGTTGATAGAGAACCTTCTTTAAACTTCTAAAAACTTCATAATTTTTGACACCTTTATTTTGAAGGGTTTTAAAGGACTGTGAAGAATAGTCTAATATGAAACTACAACAGTTCAGTTTCAGAATATTTGAAGGCATTGCAGTGTGTGTCCTACTCTTTAACAATATTATTATACTCTAGCATTCACTGCTATGAAAGAAGACACAGCTTACACACAAGCCACTGTGCTTTATTAAAGAGCTGTTGTAGGTCACAGCCACGCCACGCCACACACAAAGAGAGGTTTATCTAATAGTCCATCCTAAGCCTGAGCTACACTCTTAAAAAATGGTTCTTCCAACGTTCTTTAATAAATAAAGTGGTTCTATATGGAACTGTGAACACTCAAAGAACTCTTTGCATGATTAAAAAGTTTCTTGCTTCATGAAATGGTTCTTCAGATTGATGGAGAATGTACTGTAGATGGTTCTATTTAGAACCTTTTTGAAAAGGGTTCTACATAGGTTCTGCTATTGTTGCAATGTCAAACCCTTTTGGTGCTATATAAAACCATTTTCGAAAAGGTTCCATATAGAACCATGTACAACACATTTTCCGTCAGTCTGAAAAATCATTTCACCATGCAAAGAACTCATGAAAAAGTTCTATATAGAACTCATGGTTCTAAATAGAACCATTTCCTTTACTAAAGAACCCTTGAAGACCCATTTATACCCATTATACACAAAACACAGAATGCAGCCACAGGCTAGCCCCACTTTCAGAATAAGAGTCCCTCTGGAAAAACATATATACCATAAATGCTGTAGAATTATTACCCCAAAATACCCCCAGTATTGTTAGATTTTTTCTTGATAAACTTCACCGTTTTTATTTTTCCTGCTTGGACAAGAGGCTGATTTGTCTTTGCTCTTTGAATGTAAGAGTGCACAATTTCTCAGTCACTTCTTTTCTCCTCTAATGGACTCTTTAAATTTCAGCATGAGATCATCATCATTATGCTCAGGCATGTCAAAGTTTCACAGCCAGTATGTAAGAGTACTACCAAAAAGTTATGGAAGACAATCGATTGAACAGATTTTTTTTATTTTCAAGTTTTCAGATTCATGTCAGGTTTTGAGTGCATCATTCAAAGAGGGAAAGATATGATTCACGTCCTTAGACCTCAGACCTAGCTAATTAACTCATCAAACGTGTTTTCTTTAAGACCTTAATGTCTCTTATGGATTCTTTCTTTTGGTTTCTTACCTCCGATATCTCTTTAGTTCGTCGAGGGGTGTCTCTCAATGGCAGTGCTGTGTTTCTCCTGGATCAGACGTTGGGTAAGACGTGCCTCTTTGAGGTGAGCACATCAAACATTTATAAATAATAACCTTGGACAACTGCTGATTTGCAATGACACTTCCATTACAATGAGCAGCCTATTAGTCACTGTCTCCTCCATTAGTTATTAATGCCCCTGTGTGCCAGCTTTACTTTGTCATTTATTGCTTCATCTCTGTGCCTTTGAAATATTTAGTAACAGCTGTATCCACATTTACTGTTGATGATCAGCTCCAGGAGATGACTGTGCTCGCCACTGGCTCTATAATGAGAACTGGTGTCTTTGTCCTAAACTACTTGCTGTCATGTGTTGTGGCCAGTAGAACTAAAGGTCATCTTGGCAGAGGCAATGAAATATTTTCTGGTCTGATAGTTTAAGACTACAGTCCTACAACTATTGCGATTGAGATGGTTTTAGTCATTTTAAGATTACGTTGGTTGTTGGTGGGCCTGTCTGCAATTATCTTCAGCAGCCAAAAATTGACATCACTCCATTGTTGGTTTTAATCAGTTTTCTCTTGTTGATATTACAAAACAATTGTATGTAAGTCAGTGAAACTCGGTCAGTTGTGTTTCAATGAAATTAACTGAGTTGTCAGATTGACATCATACGTGTTTGCTTGGTCAGTGTGATCTTGATGAGTAATATTCAACATTCTTCCTATTGCTTCCTGGCATCATCTTTTTGCATATTGTTTTACTTATGTTACTCACCTTCTTTGTGTTGTCTTTCCCCCCAGCATACCTTCCATTGTGTGTAGACCTGTTTATACTTAGTGGTTAACTGCTAAACTGCATTGATGTTCACTGCATTG